TCAAAAGCCGCTGAGAGGTCCAAAAGAACTAGGACAGAGGAATAACCCCTGTCCCGGGCCCTCCAGAGATCATTCACCAACGTGACCAATGCCGTTTCCGTGCTGTATCCCGGCCTGAAGCCCGACTGGAGAGGGTCTAGATAGACTGTTTCCTCCAGGTGCCGAGGAAACTGCTGTGCAACCACACTCTCAACAACCTGTTGAACAAGGCACACAACTGTTGAACAAGGCACACAACTGTTGAACAAGGCACACAAAAGATGCTTCAGGCCTACATTTGTTGAGGGAAAATAAAGGAAGAAAGAATTAGGAATGGTCTCACAGGTCATCTATTCCATCCCATTCCAATCCTAACCCTGAGAAAGAGAGACCCCCTGGAATGGCGGTGATGGTGGAGCAGCAGCAGATTTTATGCTTAGGGCTGTGTTGCCACCTGCTGGTTGTCATGCTATGAACCCCCCCCCTTCTCCATACCTCTGCCAACGTCCCCCCTCCTCTTTCAGGGAAAAAAGTGGTCTTCATGGGGGACGACACCTGGGACGGCCTCTTCCCCCAGGCCTTCCACCGGGCCCACTTCTTCCCGTCTTTTAACGTGAAAGATCTGCACACGGTGGACAACGGGATTTTGCAGCATTTGTACCAGACAGGTGAGCAGGTCTGGTCCTGGGTGGGAGAATGGGGGGGTGAGTGAAGTCGGAGTCAGAACGGAAGGCCAGCTCTGGGGAGCGGGATCTCTCCAGCTAGAAAGTGACCTGGGTTTTGCTAAGAAAATGCTTTTTAATTGCTTCCGTAACATAACCAGCGACGGTGGCCAAATGGCATATATTTTAACAAAAAACCCAAAGCCCACAATCAAATTTCTGTGAGGTTTCACAAATAAGAACAGGGAAAGGGAATCCCAGCCTCAACTGCCCTTGATTCTCTTCCCATTCAGCTCAGCAGTTGCCAACTTTTCCGGCTTTGTGGACGGCGGGGAGTGGGGGGGAAGGGCAGAGGGGATGGTTCCATGCGAGCACACGCGCAACTGCATTTGAGCAAGCAGTGAGCACATGCACCCATCGCTTGCATAAATGGAGCTGTGCTGGATCCTCTGAGCGCACAAGTGGAGCTGCATGTGCACGCCCACCCGCCACTTCCACAGCTGGCTTCTGAACGGGCCAGAGCCTGGTATTGGGCCACAATCTGGGGGTTGGGGACTGCGGATGTAGTTCTTTCCCCTCCCCTCTCTTGTGTTTTGCCCTCCTCTTTCTGGTACCTTACCTAGTTGAATCCATACCCTGCTATTGCACTGCAATGGTGGGAAGGCTCCAAGCGGCCTCTGTTCTTCCTTCCAGCCCTCCCTAAAATGCAGTGCTCCTTTTCACCTTTGACCTCTCTCCCCTCTTTCCTGTGGCACAGTGGACGACGGCGAGTGGGATCTACTCATTGCCCATTTTTTGGGTGTGGATCACTGCGGTCACAAACATGGACCAGATCACCCTGAAATGGCCAAGAAGCTCTCCCAGATGGATGAGATGCTCAGGTGAGTTGGAACTGGAGGGGAAGCCCTCCCCCCTGCTTCCCCAGGATGGCTGCCCCTCCTGCCCCCAGCCTCACGTGGCAGAATGTCAGGCAGCTTTTCTACTGGCTGCCCTCATCTAGTGCAGGGTAGAGCAGCAGCTCAGGGCGCAAACCATCCAGCCCCAGTTGAAGCCCAGTTGCTTCTGGTGTGGCTTCTAAAAGTGCAAGTTGACTATTTCCACCAGTCTGTTTCACGCTGGTGCTGGCCCAGAGCGTGTAGCTTAAGTTCTATATTGTTGATGGACAGTTCACTGGTTGACCACCTGGAAAATGACACGCTCCTCCTGGTGGCAGGGGACCACGGCATGACAGCGACCGGGGACCACGGTGGAGACAGCGAGGAGGAACTCGATGCGGCTCTCTTTGTGTACAGCAAGGCTCCGCTCTTCCGGGACCTTCCCCCTGAGGTGAGCCAGAAGGGCACCTGGCCAGCATGAGCAGCCCTGCCAAAACAGAGCTGGCACTCCCTGGTGTAGGACATCTCTGGGAGGAAGGACAACCCCTGGGCTGCGATAAGGTGTGTCCTTGGGCAAGGGCAGATTACCTGCAGCCTTCTAGGTGCTCCCAGAATTCCTTGCGTTGGTGGTGCTGATGGAATCATCAAGGTCAGCAGCCACACCTCCGGCAGGCAGCGCCAGGTGGCTGATCCCTGACAAAAGGCTGGATTAAAAAAGTGGGCGGCTTCCCGGGGATCTTCCATCTTTGCCCCATTGCTTGTTTCCCCATTCCTCCTCAGGAGCCCCAGACGGTCCCACAGGTGAACCTGGTGCCGACATTGGCTCTCTTGTTGGGGGTGCCAGTGCCGTATAGCAACATTGGGGAAGTGATGGCTGACCTCTTTGCAAGTGAGGGGGATGCAGCCTCCTCGCTCCGTGCCCAGCTGGCAGCCTACAACATCAATGCCAGGCAGGTAAGAGTGGATCCCCTCCCGTGGGGGGGCCTTCAAAAGTGAGGTCTTGGTGCAGTGGTTAGAAGGTAGCATTGCAGGCTAACTCTGCCCGCTGCCAGGAGTTTGATCCTGACCAGCTCGAGATTGACTCAGCCTTCCATCCTTCCAAGGTCAGTAAAATGAGGACCCAGATTGTTGGGGGCAACAGGCTGACTCTGTAAACTGCTTAGAGAGGGCTGTGGAGCACTGTGAAGTGGTGTATAAGTCTCAGTGCTATCGCTAAGTGTTGTTAAGACGGCCCAAAGGACCCCACTCGGAGAGAGTTCAGCAGGGGAACCAGGGGATTCACACTCCCCTTGTCCTGCCTCCCAGAGGCACAATAACATCTCCAGTTGCCCCTCACAACACAGAAGCTGTCACTAAGCCTGTGTGCCCTGTAGATACAGCTGGTCTGGCAGCCACAAGGCTGAGAGGCTTCGGAGGCCATGCTGAGCTGCTTGGGAGGCCCTTAGTGAAGCGCCCTCTCCCCACCTTGCTGAAGCAGCCTCTCCAGCACTCTGAGCAACCGATCTCTTTGCCTGGGCAGGTGGACCGCTTCCTGCACTCCTACGCAGAGGCCGCGCAGGACCTCCCGGCGGAGAAACTGCAGCACCTTCAGCGTCTCTTTCGCTCTGCCACGGAGGAGCATGAGCACCTCTTGGTCCAGGAGGCCTCTCTGGTCCTGCCGCAGATGGAGGGGCTCCGGGCGCGTTTCCAGCAGTATCTGCGGGAGGCCCGGGCTGTGTGTGCCGAGTCCTGGGCCCGCTTCCATCCCGGCTGCATGGTGGCCGGCTGCGCCCTTTTGACCTCCTCCTGCCTGCTGTGCTACGTGGCCTCCCAGGTGGCCACTCGCCTGGACTTCTCCTACCGCCACTTCTTCCTCTACCCCCTGCTCTGGGGCTTGGCGGGGGTGGCCCTGCTGGGGCTGGCTCACGTCTTCAGGGGGGCCAGAGCTGACCTCCTTATGCTGTCCGCCTGGGGGGCAGCGGCTTCCCAACTGGGCTTCTTCTGGCATTGCTGGACCAGGCGCCCCCCAGCCCTGCACACGGCTGGCCTTTGCCCCCCGTTGGAGGGTTTCAGGCTGAAGCCGAGGCTCTGGGCGGGGCTGTCCCTGGGCATCCTGTTCCTGCGTTGCGCAGCCATGCTTTCGGACAGCTTTGTCGTGGCGGAGGGACAGGTGGTGCCCTTCCTGCTCACCTCCCTGGTGCTGCTGGAGGCTCTGAAGCTGCAGTGGAAGGGCAGGCTGGACGGCTCCCTGCTGTGCTGGCAGCTGCTGGCCACCTTGGGCGTTGTCGTGGTGTGTGCACGGCTGTCGGGGCTTTTCCGGAAGTGCCGGGAGGAGACTCCTGTTTGCCAGACAGCCTCCGTCTTGGGGGCCCTCTCCAGCGTGCAGGAACCGAGGACCAAGAACCTCTATTACGGCCTGTGTGTGGGGGCGCTGGCCAGTCTGGTGTGTGGCACCCGCTGCTGGCTGCGCCATTATGGCAACCTGAACAGCTCCTGCGCCCTGGTGCTTTTTGTGCGGTGGGGATTCCCACTCCTGGCCCTGACCCTGGCCAGTTACTGGGCCATCACCTCTGGCGCCGAGGAGATGCTGGTCAAACGCCACGCCTGGGCCCAGCTGGCTTTGGAGGTCTTCCCCCGTGGGATTTACGTCTTGGTGATGGCGGGGCTGCTCCTGGTTTTGTGGAAGCCCATGACCGTCTTTCTGGAAGGCAGCCAAGACCCACCCCTCATGTCCTCCACCTCCGAGGCCTTGATCTCCCAGCTGTACCGCCGGATCCAGGAGTCCCTGAAAAGCCAGCTGGAGGAAACGCCGGGCGGCTGCAGGGCCACGGTGGCCGCCTACGGGCTGGGCAGCGTCTATTCGGCCGCCGTGCTCATCACCCTGGCCCTGCTGGGCTTCCTGCTGATGACTCTGCACACGGAGCGGCTCAGCCTGGCCTTCCTCCTGCTGTTCGTGGAGGCCTTCGCCCTGCTGTGGATGCACGCCTGTGCCAGGGCCCTCTCTGCAGACTCGGGTGAGTCAGGGAATTCTGGCTTGGCCCTGGCCGCAGGGCCTGAAAGGAATCGTCCAAAAGCAAAGCACATTTCTCGAAACGCAGTTAAACTCAATGCAGAGTAGCGGAAGCCAGGAATCTCAGCTTAAGAGAAGCCCCCGGGAAAGGAGGCCAAAAGGGCTAGGGGTCCGGCCTGCAAAAAAGGGGTTGGCATCTCGGAGCAAAAGGCAGCTACTTGCCTGACAGACAGACAGACAGACAGACAGACAGACAGACAGAGCTGGGGAAGCGAGTCCAGCTTTATCCTCGGGGCAGGTTCATAAAGAGTTAAACAGCATCACAGCTGGCTTGTAAGCGCTTTCGGATTTTAAGGCTAAACCAGCATCTTGAATTGTACCTGAGGAATACTTGGCAGCCAGTCAGGTGAGGCAGGGAAGGTGATGGTGGATATTACCTGTCGTGAGCACAATCTCCCTTGCTTAGTGCAATCCTGGAGACTTTTTAAGGGAAAACCAGGAGAGAGTAGCCAGAGGCCTAGTAATACCCCCCTCCCCAAGCTTCTAGCAAGCTGATGGAGCCCTTTTAAAGGCAACTAGAACTCCGGCCCATAAGAGAGGTTCTTAGCGGGGCTTTTGGGCCTGGCAGCCCTCGGACCAGCCGGATCTGCAATGCACAAAGATTTAGCAGCAGCCTCTGGGCTGTGAGCGGAAACCGTAGATGCTGCTGTGCCTCTGAGGCGGAACAAGGGGGATGCGAATCTCCTATTGAACTCTCTCCATGTGTGTGGGGGGGCTTGGCACTGTGTTCCTTAGCAAGGAGAGCAGTGCTTTGGGGAGGGTGGGCTCCTAGGCTCTCGCTAGCGTTCCTCCTTCTCCTCCTCAGACCCCTTTGTGGTGCCGTGGGAAGCCCTGGTTGCTTGGGCTCTTGCTGCCGCCCAGTTTTTCTACGCCACTGGCCATCAGCCCGTCTTCCCCGCCATCCACTGGAATGCGGCCTTCGTGGGGTTCCAGCAGGGACACGCCGCCAATCTGCTGCCTGCGTTCCTCGTTGGGGCCAACACCTTCGCCTCTCAGATCCTCCTGGCAGGTGAGTTGCTTGCTTGCGAGTGGCTTGATTCTCAGATGGCCTCGGGGACCCAGCCCGGCTTCTTGCCCAGCAGAGAGAGAAATGGGCTCCCGAGTGAATGGCAGCTGCGACGGCTGGCAACCTGAGGGTGGGAGTCAAAGAAGAGCCCTGGCAGAGGGTGCGGTTGGGGGGGGGTTGGGTCCTTCTTAGGAACAGGCCTTCTCTGCATTGTGAAAGGGCCCGGCATCCATGGCGAGTCAAGAGTTGCCCTTTGGCTCTCCTTCAGAAGAAAGAGGAAGGGTCTCTTTTTGCATCTGGTCTCTCCAAGCTCTTTGGCCCACAACTGAGGAGGGGGAGGGGGGCTTCCTGATTCCCTTCCTGTGTGTGTGTGCCAGCCTCTCCACGTGTTTCTCTTTTACGCGCCCTTATAATCTGGCTTTTGGTCCACGTCTCATGGTGATCCTCTTTCTCTCGAGGTAGCTGGCTGCCCATTACTTCTGCTGTGGCCCTTTGTCTGTGAGGCCAGCACCTCCGGGGCCGGGAGGCCAAAGACGCGACTCCAAGACAGGGAGGAGCCGATGATGGAGATGAGGCTCCGGGAGGCACCGGAGCGATTTTCAGCAGCCCTGGTGCAGCTGGGCCTCAGATACCTGCTTATTTTGGGGCTTCAGGTATGTGTGTGTGTGTGGGAGCCATCGTGAGAGAAGGCCTTGATGGGGATTCAGTGGCAACAGGTGCCCCCCCCCAGGAGCCTCACCTGGTTCATCTGCAACCGATGGATCCACCAGGATGCCCATTTTGTGACTTAGTGGAGATCAGGAACGTTCATTATTGATTTATTAAACAAACCTCCATAGCAGTGATGGCGAACCTTTTAGAGACTGAGTGCCCATACTGCAACCCAAAACCCACTTATGCATCCTCGAGTGCCGGGTGGGTGTGGCCTATTGGCTGGGCGTGGCCCATTGGGTGGACGTGGCTGCAGTGGTAACGGCAGACTGGGTGGGACTAAAAAGTTCAATCAATCAATTCCAACTTTGCAAGATCTTTTCCCGCGAGAAGTTGAAATTGACTGATTGAACCTTTTTTTTCTTCACATGGCGGTGGAGGCCTAAAGCGAAAAGGTTTTATAAAACCCAGCTGAAGGCCTAGGACTGGGGCGACGGCGCGCGTGCCCACAGAGAGGGCTCTGAGTGCCGCCTCTGGCACCCGTGCCATAGGTTCGCCACCACTGCTCTATAGCTTCCCAACTTACACACAGGTGACTCTGGGCGGCTTACAAATTTTTAAAATCCACCATACAATAAAAACCCATAAATGGCAGCAACCACACAATCTAATCAGCCACTTGCTCAGCTCTGTCTCCATTTGGGGTCCCCAGGCCTACCCACAAAGCCATGTTTTTAGGGCTTTTGGAAAAGCAGCAGGGTGAGGGGCTAACTCAGACACGTCAAACACAAGGCCCGGGGGCCGGATGCGGCCCGCGAAGTGGTTTCATGTGGCCCGTGAAGCCATCCTGGAAACAGTGAGGGAACGGCCCTCGCTGCCTTGGCCCTGGCCCAGGCCGGCCGGGAGCCAATGTACAATTTTGTGGTGGCCATCTTGGCACTTGCCCCGGTGGACCATGTCTTGGCGCTTGCCCTGGTCCCACTCCCTTCTGCCAGAGACCCTCAGATCTGTCTCACTCCTGCCCAGGCCCCCACAGGCACCCTTGACGCGAATGATGTAGAGCTGGCCACGCCCACCCAGTAGGCCACACCCACTCCATCCACGCCCACCCAGTAGGCCACACCTACCCTGGCCACACCCCCCCCAGGGCAACCGCAATGTTGATGCGGCCCTCAGTGAAATTGAGTTTGACACCCCTGGGCTAACTGTACCGGTTTGGGGGGGAATAATGGTCCATAAAAAAAAGGGCACCACCGAGAAGACCCTTTTTCGTGCCCCACCAGATGACGGTTCATAATTGATGGGGCTTGTAAGGTGCCCTGCCTTCCCCTCCTGGTGGGCAGAGTAGATGTAACAGGGGAGAGGCCTTCCTTTTGCCCCTGCAAAGCCACACCCGGCCTCTCTGGGCAGAGGCTGCCCTTCCTGGATCTCTCTGTCTCCCAGAGGGCCCTTCTCTCCTGACCAGTCTCTAGCTCTCCCTTGCTTGAGTCCAGGGCTGCTGGCCCTGCTGAAGAGCTGCTGGGGGCTGGGGAGGGATATGAGCCCTCTGTCCCTTCCGTATGTTTCCTTTGCGAGGTTGCTGGCTCAGGTGTGAGAAGGCCAGCAGGCTTCTACCCAGGGACAGGGCACCTGTTTCCTTGCTGGCTGCAGCAGCTTTTCCTGGAGACCCCTCTGGAGTTTATTTATTTATTTATTTATTATTTAGATTTATATCCCGCCCTTCTCCTCGTAGGACTCAGGGCGGCGGACAATCAATTAAAATACACAAATAACAATACAGATTTAAAATTAATTAAAAGGAATATTAAAGAATTGTCCAATTTAAAATATTGATTAAAACCCCTCTAAAAATTACCCTAGGCCAGTCCTGCGAGCT